GGTGCGCCGAATCTGCAACCACCCAAAGACCCACTTGGGTGTGGCGGAGGAACTCTATAGCCCGAGGAGCTCCGCTCGGTTGATAGTCTGAGCCCCGACGACATCCCCTTTGAAAGCGCCGAGGGAAGTTTAATCCCCCACCCCCCACCCCCAGGCCCCCGCACCCCATCCCACTCGCCTGAGGCGGGGATCGGCCGAGAGGGCGCCCCCTGAACCGCCCACGGAGCCGAGGCGCCAACCGCCCCTCGGCTCGGGGGTGCCCTGGAAGACGCCCGTCCCCTGCAAGACGGGGTTCTTGGGCGTGGTGTCCTCTACTGCTATCAGGGCGAGCTCTGATGGCATCATGTTCCTATGCCTTCTGAACCCGAGGCGCTGCCGTGATCCTCGAACCCAGCGGATCCTGCGCTTCCCAGTTGCGGGGTCCAAGCCGAGGTCTCTGGCGCCTATCTTGGCCAGGAGGGGAACCCAGAGGATGTGGCAACTCATATGGATCTTGTTTCGGAGATCCTCGTTGTTGTCCGACAGTGCTGATTCAGGGGGTAACTTGCACTCGAGACCTACCAACCCCTCCTTCATATACCTCATGGCCTCTGGGAAATCGGCGAGTGGGGATCTGCTGGCGCCGACCACGCGGGCGCGCAAGTCGTCGACCCAGGTCCTGTCCGCTGTCGCCGTCTTCGGCTCGAGGGCGACAAGGCCCCCTAGACGCTGCGCGGGCACGGCCCGACCAGCCTCGATGCAATTTTGGATGGCAGCGAGCTCCGCGCGGCTTGAGGCGTGAACCTGAGGAAATCCCGAAGGCACCACTGATCCAGCCCTGCGGATGAGTGCCCTGGAAAAGTCTTGATGGCGCGCAATGCCTCCTCCTCCACCCAGTGGGTCTCCTGGGCGGTGGCCTCCATCGCCTCCTCCCTAAACTCCTGGATCCAGGCCTCTGAAACCGGAGTTCCTGCGGAGATCTTGCGGGGGGGCCAGCACCCCTCCCGCAACTCGCATTCGGGCCCGAAGACGTCGACTGGATCGGTGGGAACCTCCTCCCCCAGAACGAAGTGATCCGCCTTATCGAGGGCAACCTCCACCTCCACCTCCCCCGCAAAAGCTCGGGCGGCGCCGCCGCCCTTCTTTAGGCTGGTCTCCAACCAGTTGGCGAATGCACGCCGTGCCTGCCGCAGCGCGTGGGTCTCGAAAAACTGCACCTTCCTCTCGAGCAAGTCGTGGCGAGTGAACGGCTGACCTGACCGCGTACTTAGGGCGCTCCTAAGAAGATCCTGTTCTGCTGTAGTCTGGTCGGAGTCCCAATCGAGGTCGTTGAGGCCCTTCTCTATTAGCCTCTGGAGTAGTATTATGTGATTGGGCTCGCTGGGGCCCCGCTTACATGCTAAGTCTCGTTCTCGGACCCGCCGTTGGATAATACTCCGCCCTTGGCGGCGGAACTCTTCCCAAGGCCTTGGGGCTGCGCCTAATCTGTTGACGCCTGGGCCCCCCGCGGGAAACGCGCTGGTCTTGCTGAGAACCTCCGTCTGACATTATCATCGTATCCCGAGATGCGGCCTCCGGGGGCTGGCCATGTCTGGCTTGACAGTCAGGAGCCGACCTAACTTCTCAGACACGATGAAATAATTGATCGCGCGCCCGTTGCACGTGGAGCCTACCTGCGGTTCTACGAGGGCCCCACCGATGCTCCCCACCCAGAGGCCCCCCTCGATGAGCTGCTGGCTGGTCATCTTCCGGCCCCCTTCCATGCTGCAGGGCAACTGATTGGCTCTGACGAACTGGGCGATGTGGGCCGTCGCCTGCAAATAATACTCACTGTGTCCTGCATCTCTCTGGAGGTGGAAGGCGGTGAGGATGATGCTGTGGGCTTTGAGGCGGAGATGGCAGGCGGTCCATCCTCGCCCCCCATAAAACGGCGCCTCCCCCCCTGTAGCCCCTAGGACGCGACTGCGGGGGCAGAGGCTGCGGAGGACAAAATGCCGACGCCACAATGTGACCCTGTGGCTGAGGTCTGGGTGGCTGGGCAGAGGTAAGCTCGATACCCCTGCTTCTTCATGAACCTGCGTACGTTGCGAAAGACGCTGCGAAGAACGTACAGCCCCGAAAACCTGGTGGCATGCAGCCTCTTAAGATCATCCGACTAAACGTAGTCGCGGGCCTTGCCGTGCCAACTGGTAACCTTGGCTAGATAGATGCTGAGCGACAGTTCCCGAATTGAGACTGATGGTGTCATCGGTGCTCCCGGCGCCTAGCCTGGTGGAGCTGAGCTCGCTGCCCTGCGAGATCTGCACTATGTCGCCTATGCCGTGCTCACGGCTTGCCCCTGCTGGGGGGGACTGCTGGGCGAGGCTGATGAGCTCGACGGTGGCCTTCTCGCGATCTGTGTTGGCCTCCTTGGGCTGTATCTCCAGGTCGGCCAGGTGGGCGTCGAGCTCCTCGGCGCGTTTCTCGTGTTGGCGGGCCTTCTGGAGGGCGGCCACGGCGGCTGCTGCTGGCTGCGAGCGTTTCTCCGTGACCAGCGCCGCCGTTGCCTGCGCCGCGGGGCCGAGCTCCTGCTTCTGGGCGTCGCTGAGGACGCCCAAGATGGCGGTCAGGACGGTCTTCATGTCCATCTCGGGCTGGCTGCGCGTGTTTCCGTCGGCCTCGGAGCTTGTCTGGCAGGTGCCCTCCATCGTGTGGAAAGGCTCGCCACGCTTCCACCAAACCTTTTTCTTCGTTTCGGACTCGTGCTGCCATGCACCGCGCCCGCCGCTCACCACAGATGGGCGTTGTTTGTGGCGACGCTTCGTAGTTGACTTGTTTCAATTCCAACCCATGGTGTAAGGGAAAAAAGTTTCTGGGGAGGCATGAGAGGAATGCTGCCTCGAGCCCTAACCCCAGGGCCTCCTTTGGAGTGCAGTGGCGCTCGGACCCCCTGCTCCTCCTCCTCCTCCTCCTCCTTTTCCTCCTCCTCCTCTTCCTCCTCCTCCTCCTCCTGCTCCTCCTCCTCCTGCTCCTCCCGTCCTCCTGCCCCTCCCTCTCAGTTACCTCCTCCTCCACCTCCCTCCCTCCTCCTCCTCCTCCTCCTCCTCCTCCTCCTCCTCTCCTCCTCCTCCTCCTCCCTCCTCCTCCTCCTCCTCCTGCTCCCCCTCCTCCCCTTCTTCCTCCTCCTCCCCCTCCCCCTCCTCCTCCTCCTCCTCGTCCTCATCATCATCCTCCTCCTACTCGTCCTCCTCTGGGGCGAACAAAGGAGCACAACATAAACAGCTGCTGTCGGAGGTCCGCGCGGAGCTCCTGGGTCGGCGCTGCAAGCCCCTGGCGCGCCGCGTGACGAGCGATGGCGGCGGCGCGTTTCCAGCGCCGCCCTGCGAAATCCGTGCGGGCCTCCCACAGCTTTGAAGGGGCACCAGAGCACACAAATAAATACACACAAATAAGAGGATTCCTAATATTTTCCCATATGTTCTTGGTTGTTGTCTTTCCCCCCCCCCACTTCCCATATTTTCTTATATTTTCTGGGGAATCGACGATTAATTGTGTCTGTGTGTTTCTGTCCCTCCTGAAGTTTGCGTTTCTGCAGATCTGTGCCCCTCTGTCCTCATCACCTACTGCCAAATCCAGAAGGCAAGTGCCTCGTCTGCGGCGCTAGCTGACAGCCTATGCAATAGAGTGGTTCCTAATCAAACCATGGTAGAAAGTCCAGATCCCCGCGCAACCACGTCGCGAGGGGGCGGATGCTTGCTGGTGTGCCGAACCTTCTAGCGAGCAAACTTGCCCCTGTGCCGAGACATTGAGGTAAGAGCAGGATCAAGAGCAGGATATGAGTGAGAACTGCAGAGCAAAAACTCGTGCACTCCTCCCTCCCACGGGCCCTCCTCATTCAACCCCTCTTCTCCCTCACGTCCACCGTCCATGATTGGCAATAAAAGGACCCCTAACCCTTTGGGAGGAGACCTTAGTCAGGAGGGCCACACACATTGGGGATAAGGGGGTCTTTTCTGCAGATGTACCGATCCAAATGGCCCAGATTCAGTATCCCGAATGCAAAGACTGGAGCCTCCGTGAGGCTACACCTTCATTGTGTGTATTAGGGCAATGGGGATCTTTTATCCTCGATGAGTCCACCTCCTCCTCCTCCTCCTCCTCCTTTGTCCTTCTCCCCCCCCCCCCCCTCATCCTGCCCATCTCTGCGCCGAGGCGCCGGGAATTGAGAGGGACCCAGACCTCCAACGGCGTGATCTCAGCCACGACGCCGTGGACCCCTGGACCTGCCGACACCCCGTCCCAGACGGACGGCTGCCAGCCCCAGACGCCCGAGAACTGGAACGTCGTGCTCAGTAGTCGCAACCCAGACCTGCGACGATACAGGCCTCGGAAGCAATCAGCGATCACGCATGCCGCATTCATCTGTCAATGCCCCCTCCGATGATCAATGTTGGCGGTGGGTTGGATGAGTTGCACTGCGACCGCAGCCTTCCCCGCGCGTGCCAACTTTGAGTTTTGGAGGGTGGGGGAGTGTCCACGAATTGTTTCCCTCTGGCGTTTCCAACAATTTCACTCAAACTGAGGCCTCTGGGGCCCCGTCCCGGTACCCTGGACCACCGAAAACGGTTCCAGGTCGGGAGTTTGAGGGCCAGGGACCGAAAACTCATGTCGTAGGATGTGTGGGAACGCGTAGGAAGGTCTAGGGGATGAGCGCACGATGGGGGGACAAAAGGTACCGATATGGGTCAGATATGGGGCAGAGGGGGAGGAGCCGAGAGTCAGCAGGAGCACAGGAGGAGGAAGAGAGCATGGGCACAGGCAGGGGCACAACGGGGAGGAGAGGAGAGGATACTTGTGGACTTACACAGCCTTGAAAGCGACTGGCCCTGATAAGAGTGGAAGGCCAGCCCACCAACGGCCAAAGCAAACCGGGAATCACGGATCCCGACAGTGATTTTGACCCCGAACAAACATGGGTTCCAAGAAGCACAACGAGACGTACGTATCAGCTCGTTTCCAAGGATCAGGCCACTTGGGGACTGGACGGACGGAGAGGAGGGGCAGGGGCTCGAGCACATGCCTCTGCGCGACGGGGAACTGCGCACGGACTTCGGCGTGCACGCGAAAGGGGCTACACGAGCACAACGCACAACGTCGTGCCATGCAAATACGAGACACGGTGGCGACGCCAAGATGGCGGGCATCATTTTCAGAGCAGCGCTTGCACTGCCAGGGTTCTTGCTGGCGTCGCAATGCACTGCAAACGTACGGGGGGGGCTCCAGCCTTGGCTGTCGCCACACACTCCTGGGTTCAAGTGCCCTAGGTTGCGTTGTGGGGCCCGCGTGGTGGTGTCTGTCCTTCGTCGCGCACATGATCCCGCCCATCGACTCTTGAACCGAAAAGGCCTAGGGGTCTAGCCGTCGTCATCGCTCTGTGTGCCGCCTCAGAAATCCGCCGACCCTGTCGGCGTGTGTGGGGTCTGTCCGGTCCCTTTAACGGGGAGACTTCTTTCCCCCCCTCCTTCTCACCCTCCTCTCCCGTCGGGGGGGGAGAGAGAGAGAGAGAGAGAGAGAGAGAGAAAAAAAAAAGAAAAAAAAAAAAAGAGAAAGAGAGAGAGCACCCCTCCTCGTTCGGGGAACGGTTTCGCAGCTCGAGGGAATTCCATCCACGTCTTCATTACGTCGAAAGGAAGCCCCTTCCCTTTGTCCCTTCCACGGCTGGGGGGGAGGGGTCCCTGGAGGGGAGGGTCAGATTCGCATCGCCTGTGGGGTCCTCCTCTCCCACGCCGGTCTTTCTCCGGCGCGCCGGTCCTCCTCGGGTCCTCGTCCCCAGGTGGGGTCAGATACGCATCCGTCCCTGGGGGTCCTCCTCCCCCCCACCCTTCCCCTCTCCCACGCCGGTCCTCTTCCGATCCTCCTCCCCAGGGGGGAGGTCCAAGGGGGGAGTCGTTTTCCTCCTTCTCCTCCTCCTCCTCAATACCTTCGCCTCCTCCTCCTCCATATCTCCGCCTCCGCCTCCGCCTCCTCCTCCTGCTCCTCCTCTCCCTTCTGGTCGTCGTCGATGTCTTTCAGGGTCGGCGGCACGGGCCGTCGGGCCACGACAATCGAGTTCAAATGCACTCACCGGAGGCGACAGCCGTGTCTCCGGATGGCGAAGCCTGTGCAGTGCGTTCCTGGGGCGGGTTTCAAGTATGAGCGTCAAGTGTGGCAAAACCGTCGGGCTTGGGCGCTCGGGAGTGCAGGTGTCCGACTCGATCAAACATGGGAACATGGCCACGTGTGATGTGAGCGGGTATTCCTGCCGCGGTTGCCCATGGCGGTTGGGGAAACAATTCGAAACAAGGGCAGGCGCCCAAGGCAGCGATCTTTTCACGTACCCATTGAATTGGTTGCCTGGCTGGCGCAGCGTCCTCGGTCGCAATGTCGACCGAATCCCATCAGCAACTATGACCTGGCCACTAGGTTTCGCATGGATCTGGGCTGGATTTAACGCCGGGCCGGGAGGCGCCGAAGTGTCGTCGAGCGGAAGAACAGCTGCGATTCGAAGGAAGGAAGGACTGGCGACCTGAGTATGGGGGTCAAGGGTCTCCATACTCAGATCCCATGGTCAGCACGATCGGCCGATGATCCACGGAGCGAAGGCGTGCGACATGTGCGGCTGCAGTCCCTCTCCCCGTTCCCCCCTCCCCAGGGCCCAGAACCTCAGCTGAGCCCGCCATGGAGAGGCGCCGAAACTCCCAATACGTACACCCTTCAGGCCCTCAAGCCTCCAAATCCAGCCTCCGACGCCTCCAAGATACCCCAAATGCTTGCCAAGCGAGCTCCAAGATGCTCCAGCACGGCCCAGTGGGCCCCAAGACGGCTCCAAAGTGGCCACGGAGCCTCTACTACCCGGACCTTTTCCCGGGGCGCGTTCTGACCACAAGTTCGAAGAGACTCCACCCGTGGCGACTGGGTTCTCCAGGACGAGCAGCGGCAACACTCAGGCGTCCGAAACTCTGAGTTTGTGTCATCGCGCGGCCCCAATGGTCTCGACCCCTTCCCCAGGTGTAGTTTCGTCCTAAGGTAGCTGTTGGTGCCCCAGGGCCCAATAACGGCCCCGAGAAGCTGAAATCTAGGAAATCATCCCAGTCAAGTCTGAGGAAACTCACATACATATTGTAGCTCCTGCGTTGGCACTTCATCTTGCACCTTCCTCTGTTCGAAATTGTTACGCGCATGCGTCGCTGTGATGCGACACGGAGGCGTTGCGGCGCCCTTCGACGTAGACGCTCTGAGCGTCGCGCAAACTATGATAATGCCACCTTCGACATACAGTCTGCGGTGGCGAAGCACTCGCATCACAACTCCATCAACACATCGGCATTTGCCGGTCGCAGTGCACAACGCAACGACGGGGTCTTAATTGCCCCGACACGCAACACGCGACACGTAGCGTACTGATACGGGGCTCAACACGAACACTGAGAACGTAGTTATGACGCGATACGCTCGCCAAAACGTGGGCCAACACAGTGATTCAACACGCAACATCTTGACACAGACGTTTCGGGCAGGGTTCATGTTGCGTATCAAACCGAGCGTGTCGAGGCAGCTGACGACAGGATAGAGACCGCGGTGAGGGAACGATCCCTGCGCAACCCCTGTGGTGTGGAGAACATGCCACGCCTGCCACGCCCCGCGACAATGAGACGGATAGAGACCGCGGTGAGGGACCACCCCCTGCGCACCCCCTGCGGTGTGGAGAAAAATGCCACGCCTGCCACGCCCCGTGGCCCTGAGACGGATAGAGACAGCGGTGAAAGACCAGCCTCTGCGCACCCCGTGTGGTGAGCAGAAAATGCCACGTTTGCTACGCCCCGCGACCCTGAGGTGGATAGAGACCTCGGTGAGGGACCACCCACTTGCGCACCCCCTGTGGTGTGGAGAAAATGCCACGCGTGCCACGCCCCGCGACCCTGAGACGGATAGAAACCGCAGTGAAGGACCACCCCCTGCGCACCCCCTGTGGTGTGGAGAACATGCCACTCTTGCCACGCCCCGCGACAATGAGACGGATAGAGACCGCGGTGAGGGACCACCCCCTGCGCACCCCCTGTGGTGCGACATGCCACGCTTACCACAGCCCGATACCCAGAGACGGATACAGACCGGTCCCCTGCGAACCCCTTGTGGTGTCGAGTAAATTTCACTCTTGTGTACACGTCGTTCATTTCTAACCGTGTTCATTTCTAATTGTGCTCGTCTCCAATTGTTCCTGGCCCCCTAGTGGCCAGGAAGAGACCCATGACAAAACAATTAGAAATGAAAGGGTCTTGGCCCAAAAAACAAAGAACCTTCGAAGGATTAGAAATGAACAATGTGTACGCCTATCCTGTGTGTACGGCTGTATGTGGACGTCTGTATCATGTGGGTGCCGCGTACTGTGCCGTGCTGTGTACGTCTCTGATGCGTGTGCGCGGCTAGTGTTTGCAGAGCATGTGTGTGTGTGTCTTGTGTGCGAATGCCTGATGCGTGTATGAGCGTGGAGGATGAATGGTGAGGAGGATGAACGCGGGTAAGGAGAAAATCAAAAACCCGCAAAGTGAGCACGCGGGGAAGGGGGAGGAGGATGTAAGGAGGAAAGGAGGTGAGATGGAGATCGCGGATGTGACGCGGATGGGAAAAATTGTCCTGGCGAAGGACCCAACCATATGCAGTTGTGGGTACCGCAATTGTGAATATCTTCTTCGGTGGAGCTCCCTGGGGCCATGAAGTGCTGCACTGGGTGGGGGAGAACGCATGCGGGCGGTAGCACTGGGGCCGTCGGTGGAGCTCCCTATGGGGCCACGAAGCGCTGTACTGGGTGGGCGAAAATGCCAAATTGGGTGTGTGGGACGCATGCGGGCAGTCCCACTGGGGGCTTCTGTCGAGCTCCCTATGGGGCCACGAAGCGCTGCACTGGGTGGAGGGGAACGCATGCGGGCGGTAGCACTGGGGCCGTCGGTGGAGCTCTCTATGGGCCACGAACAGCTGTCTTGAGTAAGTGAAAATGCCAAGTTGGGTTTCTGGGGCGCATGCGGGCGGTCCCACTTGGGGCTTCGGCGGAGCTCCCTATGGGGCCACGAAGCGCTGTATTGGGTGAGTGAAAATGCCAAGTTGGGTTTCTGGGGCGCATGCGGGCGGTCCCACTGGGGGCATCGGTGGAGCTCTCTATTGGGCCACGAAGCGCTGTACTGGGTGGGCGAAAATGCCAAATTGGGTGTGCGGGACGCATGCGGGCGGTCCCACTGGGGGCATCGGTGGAGCTCCCTATGGGGCCACAAAGCGCTGCACTGGGTAGGTGAATATGTCAAATTGGGTTTCTGGGGCGCATGCGGGCGGTCCCGCTGGGGCTTCGGTGGAGCTCCCTATGGGGCCACGAACCGCTGTTCTGGGTGGGTGAAAATGCCAAGTTGGGTTTCCGGGACGCACGCGGGCGGTCCAACTGGGGGCTTCGGTGGAGCTTCCTATGGGGCCACGAAACGCTATACTGGGTGGGTGAAACGCAGAGAGGAGGGAGGAGGGGGAGGAGGAGGGAGGGAGGAGGTAACGCGGGGACCGTCTCTTCAAACGAGGACGCAACACCACAGGATGGTTGGGAACACACATAAACCCAACGAATGCATGTGAGGAAAGATCAAACCAGCGAACCTCTGGGGAGGGCTGCGGGACGAAGACAAGGGGGAGGAAGAGGAGGAGGAGCAGGAGGAGGAGGCGGGGGAGGAGGAGGAGGAGGGGGAGGAGGAGCAGGAGGAGGAGGAGGGGAGGAGGAGGAGGAGGAGGAGGAGAGGAGGAGGAGGAGGAGGAGGAGAGAGGAGTGGGCAGAGGAGGAGGAGGACGAGGAGACGAGGAGGAGGAGGAGGAGGAGGAGGAGGCAGAGGAGGAGGAGGGGGAGGAGGAGGAGGAGGAGGAGGGAGGAGGGAGGGAGGAGGGAGGAGGGAGGCGGGGGGAGGCAGGAGAAGGGAGGAGGAGGAGGAGGAGGAGGACACGGAGGACGGAGGAGGGAGGAGGGAAAAGAATGAAGGAGAAGGGAGGAGAGAGGAGGAGAGGGCCGGAGGGAGGAGGAATAATGAGGAGGAGGAGGAGGAGGAGGAGGAGGAGGAGGAGGAGGAGGAGGAGGAGGAGAGGGGGGAAGAGGAGGAGGAGGAGGACGAGGAGGACGAGGAGGAGGAGGAGGAGGAGCAGGAGGAGGAGGAGGAGGAGGGAGGAGGGGGAGGGAGGAGGAGGAGGAGAGGCGGGGGGAGGCAGGAAAAGGGAGGAGGAGGAGGAGGAGGAGGAGGGGACAACGGAGGACGGAGGAGGGAGGAGGGAAAAGGATGAAAGGAGGAGGGAGGAGGAGGAGGAGGAGGCAACCGGAGGGAGGAGGAATAATGAGGAGGAGGAGGAGAAGGAGGAGGAGGAGGACAACGGAGGAGGGAGGATGGAGGATGGAGGATGGAGGAGGAGGCAGGAGGGAGGAGGAGGAGGAGGAGGAGGAGGAGGAGGGATGAGGAAGAGGAGGAGGAGGGATGAAGAGGAGGAGGAGGAGGAGGCAGCTGGAGGGAGGAGGAGGGAGGAGGAGGATAATGAAGAGGAAGAGGAAGAGGAGGAGAAGGAGGAGGAGGAGAGGAGGCGGAGGAGGATGCGGCGAGTGAGGAGGAAGAGGTGGTGGGAGTGCAAGCGCAAGCTGGCCAGGTCGCAAACCCCAGACGGCTCGCGTCCCGCGGAGCTCAGACCGGGAAAGGTAGTGTCGGGATCCACCAAGAGGGGGTGACCCTGAGGGGGGTATGTGTTCGATCCGCTGGTGCACCGAAGTGCTGCTAACAGATGTCCCCCGCATGCCCCACCTATCGGCAGCTATCGAGAGCTGCCGGCGGCTGGGGGGCATCTGTGTTTGGCACTTCGGTGCAACAACCGATCGAAATCCCCCTCCCCGGGGCACACTCCCTTCGCGGGATCCCGAAAGTGGTATGGGTTCATGTTCCTCCTCTGACCCAACGCCGACGACGACGACGACGACGACGACGAGGACGACGCGGACGACGAGGACGGCAAGGACGACAAGCACGACGAGGACGACGACGAGGATGAGGACGACGTCGGGGATCTTCTGACCCGGGTCAATCCAGGCCCGGGTCAGCCAGGCATTGCAGAATCCTGCAAGATCCTGCAAGACCCTGCACCCAAACCCGGGTCAATGCGAAGGATCCTGCAAGATCCTGCAGGATCCTGCACCCAAACCCAGGTCAATGGGAGCCTGACTCTGCAGGATCCTGCAAGATCTGGCGCTCTGGCTGACCCCCGTTTGCATTGACCCCCGTCTCAAGGCTCCCGACGACGACGACGATGTCCCCCTCCGGTATCGAAGCTCGAAGCTCGACGCTTCCCACGCAGGCGCGGCGAGCGCCCGGAGCCGGGCGCGGCTGCCAACTGCAGCAGGCCAGCAGCCCCCGACCGCCGCATTAAACCTGAGGGGGGGCACCTCCTGGGAGGTCCTTGCAGAGGAGCGGTTGAATACTACTACCGTAGGGGCTCGACCACAAGAAACCTTCGACAAGAAACCCAACCCTGAGACCGCAGGAACGCTGGGAGCGTTTTTTGTTCCGTTTTCCACTTCTGGGGTTGCGACCAACAAAAATGGAAACATTATCCCAGTGCGACCCTACCTAGGAGTTGCAACCCCTAGGAAAGCAGCATTAGTAGTAACAGTAACGCTAAGCTAAAGATAAGCTAAAGCTAAGCTAAAGCTAAGCTCAAGCTAAGCCACAGCTAAGCTAAAGTTAAGCTGAAGCTAAGCTAAAGCTAAGCTAAAGCTAAGCTAAAGCTAAGCTAGAGCTAAGCTAAAGCTAAGCAACAGCTAAGCTAAAGCTAAGCTACAGCCAAGCTAAAGCTAAGCTCAAGCTAAGCTCAAGCTAAGCTAAAGCTAAGCTAAAGCTAAGCTACAGCTAAGCTACAGCTAAGCTCAAGCTAAGCTCAAGATAAGCTAAAGCTAAGCTAAAGCTAAGCTAAACGCTAAGCGAAAAGCTAAACGAAACGCTAAGCTAAAGCTAAGCTACAGCTAAGCTAAAGCTAAGCTAAAGCTAAGCTAAAGCTAAAGCTAAAGCTAAAGCTAAACCTCCCAGGGGACTGGGGGGAACCGCTCCCAGGGGACTGGGGGAACCGCCCCGGGCGCTTTCCACTGCCCGGCCCCTTTAAGCTAGAGAGTAAGAACCCTTCTAGGCAGAGCCTAGGTAGGGAAAAACGGTAGCCCAGAACGAATTGAACACGACGTGCTCGAGCTAAACACGACAGGAAAACGGAGTGCCAACACGGGGGACGAAATTGCCCAAACGTGACCGGCGTTTGTGGGGGAGCTGAAAACACATCGAAAACGCAACAAAAAACAAATTATCCCAGTGCGACCCTACCTAGGAGTTGGAGCATCTAGGAAAGCAACATCTGTGTTATGCTCGGCTAGTAGAAGCTAGGGTACGCTCGGCTGCGCAGTGTTATGCTATGCTATGCTATGCTATGTTATGCTGCGCTATGCTATGCTATGCTATGCTATGCTATGCTATGCTATGCTATGCCGCGCTATGCTATGTTATGCTGTGCTATGCTATGCTGCGCTATGCTATGTTATGTTAGGCTATGATATGATATGATATGCTGCGCTATGATATGCTGTGCTATACTATGCTGCGCAATGCTATGCTATGCTGTGCTATGCTAGGTTATGCTGCGCTGTGCTATGCTCAGCAATGCGATGCGATGCGATCCTATGCTATGCTGCGCTATGCTATTATATGCTATGCTATGCTATGCTAGGCTATGCTATGCTATGCTATGCTGAACTACGCTATGCTATGCTTGACTATGCTATGTTATGCTATGCTGTGCTAATGCTGCGCTGCGCTATGCTGCGCTGCGCTAAGCTAAGCTAAGGTAAGCTATTCTAAGCTAAGCTAAGCTAGGCTAGGTTAAGCTAAGCTAAGCTAAGCCAAGCCAAGCTAAGCTAAGCTAAGCTAAACTGAGCTAAGCTAAGCCAAGCCAATATAAGCTAAGCTATGCTACGCTAAGCTAAGCTACATTAGGCTAAGCTAAGCTAGGCTAAGCTAAGCTAAGCTAAGGTAAGCCAAGCTAAGCTAAGCTAAGCTAAGCCAAGCTAAGCTAAGCCAAGCTAAGCTAAGACGAGATAAGCTAAGCCAAGCTAAGGGGGCGCGACTGGGGGAACCGCGGGGCGGGGACTGTTGGAACCGCCCGGGGCGCTTTCCACTGCCCGGCCCCTTTAAGCTAGAGAGTAAGAACCCTTCTAGGCAGAGCCTAGGTAGGGAATAAAAGAGGCGCGGCAAGGCGCACCCCGCTTCCAGGTCTGAAAACGGCCAGAAAACTGTCATTGAAAACAAATAAAAAAACGGAGCCCAAACTGACAGAAAACAGTGGCCCACATCTACAAAACGAAAAGAAAACGACAACGAAAACGGAAAGAAAACGTCGATCTTGAAAACGGAAAAAAAAACGCCCCCAGCGTTTCGGTTAGAACATCTAAGGGAACGACACGCTTTCCAACCCTGTAGGCAAGCAGGGTGTTTCTTGGCATGGGTTTTCCACTGTACTACACCCCTGCTTAGAGCTAAGAGAACTTCTCGCGCAGAAAATGAGCTTTACTCCAAGCGTTTTCTGGAGCAGTCGTCCAGGTACGGGTGTACGGAAATCCCACGAACAAAGAAATCTCCAAGAAAACGCCCAGGGTCCAGTGCAGACTCTTGACTATCCTAAGCGAAATCTGGAGACCATGGAAGTTCGTTCCTGTTGTTCTTAAGATTTCTGATGGGTCTAGGCCCGATGAAGACGAGGCCAGGACAAGGATACAATCGGGAGAGGATCAATCGGGAATCTCTGACAACAGGCGGCAATGGAGGATGTCTCGGGCGCCGTTGCCTTCTCAGAGCGTACCAAAATGCTTTGGGAGCGTTCCATTTCGGAACGCTCTCAACGTTCTGGAAGCGTTCCGGGACGCTCTCGAACGGATGTATCCTTGTCCTGAGCCCGGGCTGACTGGGCCCGATCGAAGGGCTGACGAACCGGATCACGCCAGAGCCAAGGATTGAAGGGAAGCTGGAAACACATGGCTCACGTGTGGAACCTTCGGAGGCCGAGCGCTGCATACGTGCAGAGGGCTGGCGTACCCAACCATGCAGGGGCCAAGCGCTCCAGCTCTCGCCCAGGCTGGCCACGCTCTGCCGCGCAGCCATCTCCCCAGCACGCAAACCGCACTGAGCCGAGGGATGGGGCCAGTGTGCAGGCACCGGGCGCCCGGTGCTGGGCTCGACCCTCCCAGGAGATGCGCCGAAGGCCTCCCTGTGGAGCCGAAGGCCTCCCTGTGGAGGCTTCGCTTCGACGGACCGTCAGGCGGAACTGCAGCTGCAGCTACGGGAGAGGCATTCCCGATTCTCCCCTCTCCCCCCTTCCACCCCAGAAGCCCCATCTACCCCCACCCTGTCGTCCTCCTCCACCACCCCCATCTCCCCTGCCCCTCTCCCCCTCAGCCGCCTTCGCCGTCGTCGTGGCAATGGCGCCGCCGCTGCAGCTGCAGCCGCTGCCGCCGTCGCCGTCGTGGACGCCGACGCGGCCGACGCCGACGACGTCATCCTCGCCACCGACGCCGTCGCCGCCGACAGCGTCGACCTCGTCATCCTCGCCGTCGCCGATGACACCGACGCCGACATCGCCCTCGCCGCCGCAGCCGGCGCCGCTGACGACGCCGTGTCGACCTCGTCATCCTCGCCACCGCCGGTGATATACGTAGGGGTGACCCTTCGCTAGAGCGACCTTTCGGGCTGGCCGCAAAGGGTCGGATGATTTTTCTTTTGGAATGGGTTTGACCTCGTGTCGACACCCGTATCGCGCGGTTGCGCTCGCATCTGAGAGGGACGGGTTCGGGCCCCCCTTTTCACAATCGACAGCAACGCATACGCGGCGCACCTTACAGTGTGCATTGGTTTCCCGATGGGGGGCCGGTCGACTGGACGGCGCGTTCTCCGCCCCAAAATCACTCGCGAATTCCAGCCCGACTACCGAATCGTCCGGTTTCAATATCTTTGGCTCTATTTGAATATGGTTGGATCTGTTCAATACCTTAGAAAACGTTTGAATAGTTGTTTAACCAATGGGGGTCTTTACTGTTGCAAACGATGCAAAAATATTCAAACATACTCCGGGCTTGCGGACGGGGCCGGATTGGCCATGACGCCGGACCTGGTCAACCGTCGTCGCGACAGGGCCCGGCAGTGCCAGACTTCATCGTGGTGGCCCCCGGCAGCGTCTGCTTTTGCAACGCGTTCGAAAAGCCCTGCGGGGCGTTCGAATCCAATTGGCGGAATTCCACGGTTGCCCGCTGGCGCAAAAAAAACATTCGAGGCGCGCCCCGCCGATCTTTGATGCGGCACGGCAGCACTGGCTTGCGCGGTTGTGCTGGGCATCCACGGGAACCCTCGTAGCCACGCCCCAAAAGATCACTCTAGCCTAGGGTTACTCTTGCGTGAAGTCGGACGCCTTTGCCCTCGCCGCCGCGCAATGGTTGCCGCAGACGACGACGTGTCGCCCTCGTCGTCCTCGCCGCCGCCGCCACCGACACCGACGCCGCCGCCACCGCCCTCGCCGCCGCCGACACCGTGTCGCCCTCGTCATCCTCGCCGCCACCGCCGACGACGACGCCGCCGCTGCCGCCGCCATCCCCGTCCCCCTCGACTGCCGCCGCGGGAGCCGTCCCGCTGTCTTCCCCCGCCACCCCGGCGCTACGCGGCGGGGCCGGGCTGGGAGAAGAGGGCGTGGGCCCGTGCCCGGCGGGCGGTGGGGCGCGAGGCCGGGTTCAGGGACAGCAGGCTGCGGAGGAGGTCGATCCCAGC